AGATAGATAGATAGATAGATAGATAGATAGATAGATAGATAGATAGATAGATATCCATTTGGAATAAAGTGAAAGAAAAATCTTCTAGTTTTCTTCTTTCTAATTAACCTAAATATTTCAACATTTGTTTGGAGAATGAGTCCTTTCTCATTTCAAAAACAACAAGAAAACCAGTGCTACTTACCATCATTCATGCAGTTACAAAACCCACACTGATATTTTCTTCCTCCCTCAATGAACTGCATAAAGGGACACATGTAAGCTTTGCACCGATTGCATCGAATTGGTCCGGTCTCCCCATGGTTTACCAGATAAAGTGGGGTCTGCAGACAATTAAAAAAAAAATGGTAATGCAAATTCAACAGGTCAGTGTACCAGCTATATATAGTTATATCTGAAGGGTTGTTGCTTTCATATTCCTGTGAGGGAGTTTTTAAACCACCAGTTTTCTTAATGAATCCTGAATCCTGAATCCTGAACCACTTTTAATGTTTTGCAATTTACAGTACTGTTCTTGTTGCTTCATGGAATTCATATGAAATATAAGCGAAGATCAGCTTGTATCAATACTCCACAATGGAAAAGTAGCTTTAAAAAAGCATGCATTATCCTTAATGTATGTGAGCCAGTTTGGTGAAGTGGATGAGGCATCAGGCTGGAAACTGGGAGACCGTGAGTTCTAGTCTCACCTAGACAGAAAGCCAGCTGGGTGACCATGAGCCAGTCACCCTCTCTCAGCCCTAGGAAAGAGGCAATGGCAAACCACTTCTGAAAAACCTTGCCAAGAAAACTGCAGGGACTTGTCCAGGCAGCCTCCAAGAATCGGACACAACTGAACGGATTAAAAAAACAAACTAGCTTATTAATCATACATCACTCAAGCTTTTCTTATGGGAGAGTTGATTACAAATCTTTCCCACTAAAATGAATGGCATGTGAAAGTACCTAATTTTGGGCTGGATTATATCTACTGTAAACAAAAATTAAAGCAACTAATTGTATATTATTGCATAGTATAACACAGTGATAACATTTATTCGGAAATACTGTAATTACTATTGTAATGACAACATTTCTTCTGCGCAATGTACTTATGAATATATAAATATTTTCTTTATATGATCCTTAGCACATCTCTCACACACACACATACACACACACATTGAACAGTAAAATCTCATTTCAATAGACTAATTTGGGGAAGAGAATGTTCATTATTCAGAAATGTCTGATGAACTGAAGAGTTCAGTATCAAAGGGATGTGTATCATTTGTATAATGAAGTCATTATGCAAAGGACCACAGCATGTGAAACTCAAGTCTCTGATATCTGATAAATCAAAGTTTCACTGAACATATTGAATGATATGCTAGACTGCAGATTGCAGTTTCAGACTCATAGTCTACTTCCCCATGAATAAGAAATGGCTCTTGCTCACATACAGAGTCAAACCTCTCTATTAAAGATAGAAAAAGGTAGTATTTTTCAGACAGAAGTCTATAGGGAAAGCCTAGTAAAGAATAAGGTTTTCCCATCTCCCTCGAACCTCTGATTCACTTTTTGGAACTTTCAAGAACCTGGAAAAGTAACTGAAGAACATTTGCTTCAGGAAGACTTTTGTTTCTGCAGAAATAGATAAAAATGTAGAGCCAGGAATTTGCACTGGGTTGTTGTATTTCTGTTTTCTGTGTTGTGCTAAGTCTTACGTTCTTCATCTCTCTGTACAAGTTATGGAACTGAGTGTTTGATGTCAGCCTTCAATCAAATCTCAGGCAATGTTCTTGAAGATTTTTTTCCCCTTTAGAAACATGTGATCTGTAATAATATTTGGAACTTTCTTCCCATTCTGTTTGAATAATTTGGGCAATGGGGGTCTCCATTTGTAACTGACAGCCCCTCAGTGTAGTCCAGATACCACAAGAAATGCTAGAATTTTATTTTATTGATAAAGGCTATAATAACATAATCTTATCTTTCTTCAATCTTATACCAAAAAGAGAGCCGGGATGAGGCAATCCTGAGTTTCTTCCTCATGCCTTCCTGTTTTTCTGGGTTAGGTTCACATCTTCCCAATAGCTGCTGCATATTTTCTTCAAGATCCCCACGGTCTGCCTCTACACCAGCAGACTAGTACCATTTTGTGATCTGCTCAAGTATTTATTTTCCTTTTGTAACTAACTTGCAAGCTACTCATATCATAATCTAGGCCAGCATATAAGTGTCTTCTTCCACACCGAAAGTTTGCATTTTAATATTTAAAGTTACAACTTGTTTTTACATTTTCTTTTTAAATATAATTGGATGTTGTTTATCATCCATGAGATTGGTTTATCTCCTATAAAAGAGGAGGGAAGGCTGAATATTCTATTAACCATCTTTATGCTACTCAGCCAGGAGCCGCACTGTTGACATTCTTTATTTTTTCCTCATTTAACCTGTTAATCACTAGAAATGCAACACTCTTCTCTATGAAGGAATGTGTGTCTCTCACACAGCAGTGTTAGGGTGTGGGCACCAAGTGAGGTGCCCCCAATGGACAACTGAGGCAGCAGCAACTACCAAGCTGCTATCCCAAAGCAGGAGGTATAATCATTTTTCTATCACCTTGAATAGTCAGTTTTGAACGTTTTCTACTTCACGTCATATCCAATTTAACAAAAGAGAGAAGCATGCATAATCCCTTCCACTGAATCTCACAGGTTAAGGAATAAAGTCTTCTAAACTCAGCAAGAATTATTTTGAAGAAAAATACATGGAACTGGACTGTTTGGGCAGGATTGCATCCAATAAGCCAGTAGTTTGGTCACCGCATATTAAATGGTGTTGTCATTAACACAATTATTTATATGTTCTTATGCACATATATTATTTAATCTATCTTTTCTTTCAAAATCAAATTGTTTTGCATTGAAACAAGGCTATGTTAAGAAAAGTAATTTATCTTCTAAGAATTATTTCCTCAAATTAGCAAACTCAAAAAAAAAATGCTCATAAAAGTCACTCATTGACGTTAACAGGCTACAGATATATTAACCCATTTGCTTGTATCTAATATATTACTAGAGACAGATTTAGTAAAATCAAAACAAAACAGATTTTTCTAATGTTTTCTTATTAGAGGTGGAAAGTTTATCTTTCTACTCATTCTGATGCTCATAAAAAACTCAGGTTAGCAATGTATCATTTTAGTCTTACATTAAATGTTTTTAAGAATGGTTTTGCATTTTTAATTGTCAGCAGTACTGAACTAAAATACTTATTGCAAAGAAATAGTATAATTGAAATATAATAAAAATAATACTTTGGGGGGAAACCCCTGTTATATTACCATGATCAGAACTATCACTTCATCAACTATTTTATTTAGTTTATATATGCAAATATATGCAAATTACCTAAAATGCCACCAATTGTAGTAATCATTTATTCCAAGAACAATAAATGTCAAAGGAAATGCATATTTTTAAAAGACTGCTTTCTCTGGTATTCTCCTATTCATATCAAATCCACATTTTATAAAGAGTTACCATAGTTGTTAGGGGAAATTCTTATAGCCTGAAAGCTTCTTTGATGTCATTCCTTTTTTCATTTTAAATGAGGGCTGTTTACTATCATCTTCCCAATAATATCACTTATTTAAATCTGTGGCCATTCATTTCCTAAACATGATCATGACTTCATTTCAAAGTCAGAACAACACAGATCTTGGTGTTTTATGCCTGATCTAACATAAGACTTATATGCACTAATTTTATTATTATTTTTAAATGTAGTATTTCATTTCATTTATCTAATATAAAACTGAGAAGCTCATCCGAGTATGATGATTTCAGCTATTATTGTCCACAGTCAGAAAAGACAAAATGTCAGCTTTGCAAAACCCTTCTTTATGTTCACACTGTCTGTAGGGGTCACTGTGCCCAAAGAGATACAGTACTCATAATATGCAACAGGCTTGTGCGAATTGCAATATCAGTAGAGTTGCAGTAAATGCTAAAATACAAATCTAATGAGTCTGAGAAAGACCAAACAAATGTTATTAATTTGTCTTATAATGAAATAATGTGCTGATGTTAGTCACTGAAAAAAGGGCACTGAGAATCAATATTAATAAACCCAGTTTGTTCCTAACAATGACTAAAAATGTTAACAAGACAACTGGCAATAAAATACTATGATGTACAAAGTTACTACCCCAGATTCTCTATTGGGCATGTGTGATTTCTGTAGACTACTTTTAAAGTGTGGGTGATGTTCTTTTTCATAAAATTATTTAGTCATCCCATATTTTGACACATTAATTAGAATGATCTAGTAGAAACACATATTTTGTTATCTCTGGGGCAAAAAAGTAGTATTTGATTCTTGACCCAGCAAGAAGTGAACTGAACTTATTTTAAATGTATTATTTATCAGATATCACTCTTTTTGGTAGAGTCGTATTAGCTATCTTAGATCCATCAGATAACTGGAATTTGAGACTTCTTTTCTACTGTGGCTTTGCAGTAGCTGAATAAACAGAATGTGTATGTGTGTGTGTGTGTGTGTAAGCAAATCAAGTGATATTTGTGAAAATTATATCAGGAATTAGGTACTGTATGTAACA